CATGCAGTTCAAGGCAGGTAGGATTCTGTTTTTATTCTTTTTTTCTAGAGATTGGCTGGTCAGTAAGCTAATAATAGTAGTTTTAGCCTTCAATTTTAATTGGTTTGGCTATAGAACGCAATATAAGCTAGTTTGTATCTGACTAAAGCAATTTGGTTTTGACTGTAGAAGTGTTTAACAACTGTACTGAGGACAATTGGCCATTTGCTCCCCTCTGTATTCTTGAGAAGGCATGTCATGGTTTTACTAACATCAGGTATGGCAGGAGAGTTTGGGCTTGCTAAGAGAACGTTGTATTACCAAGATCTTTTAGGACTGACCTTGTGTTTGTGGAAGTGTAAACTTAAACCAGTCTAAAGGTTTCTGTATTGGTAAATGCTGCTGTCTGAAGGACTATTAGTAGCATGCTCTGTATAGATCTCAATTTTATGGCTTTATATTTTCCTGCAAAGGCAACTTACTTCATTTTATTTTTAACAGGTTGAAAAATGGAGAAAAATAGCCCTGTATTTACTTACTATTTCTGAAACCTTTTCTCAAACCGGACTTAATGCTTTGTTCTCTCTCCTACATCTTTTTAAAATGAATCATTTATATGTTATCTGAATTTTTACTGTGTAACAGGGAGGATGCAAAGCAGATTTTTGGCCAGTTGTCATTTAAGTCGAATAATTCTATATAATATATTTACGTATTTCAATATAGTTTGTGCAAAAAAACCTCAAACAAACAAAAAAAACCATATATAGATGTGCACAACCATTTTCCAGATTTGATACTGGACTATTCCAGTATCACTTAGTACTTCTCACTCTTTCTGAAATTGTCATGGTATCAGATTTTTTAATGCAATACAGTACTTTACTTTTTTTTTTTTTTTTTTTTTAAATATATCGGAGACAGATTCTGAACTATTAGTCAGGTTATACTTCTAAGGATGTAATATTCTTTAAAGTTTACTAACAGAGGATAAAAGAATCATTGCATCATTAACATTGGAAAAGATGTCTTAAGATCATCAAGTTCCCTCTCCCCAACAGGACATGGGAGAAAAAGAAGATTTAAAAGGATGTGGGTCAAGGTAAGTGTGGGCAGATCACTCACCAATCACTGTCATGAACAAAATAGAGTTGGCATGAGGGAGATTAACATAATTTATTGCCTATTCATAATAGTGTAATAATAATAGTGTACGATGGTGAGAAAGAAAATAATAGAGAACTCCTGTCTTCTGACCCTTCTGAGTTTCAGCTTCACTCCAACTCTTCTACCTCTTCCCCAGTCCTGAGCAGTGCAGGCATATAGCTCTTGTGAGGCCCTATCTGAAGTACTGTGTCCAGGTCTGGAGCCCCCAGTACAAGAAAGACAGAGAGCTGTTGGAGAGGGTCCAGAGGAAAGCCACAAAGATCACTGGAGGGCTGGAGCACCTCCCCTATGAAGACAGGCTGAGGGAGCTGGGCTTGTTCAGCCTGGAGAAAAGAAGGCTGCGGGGTGACCTCATTGCAGCCTTTCAGTACCTAAAGGGAGCCTACAAACAGGAGGGGAATCAACTCTTTGAAAGGGTTGATAACAGCAGGACAAGGGGAAATGGTTTTAAGATGAGGGAGGGAAGATTTAGGTTGGATGTCAGAGGGAAGTTCTTTACGGAGAGAGTGGTGAGGTGCTGGAATAGGCTGCCCAGAGAGGTTGTGGATGCCCCATCCATCCCTGCAGGTGTTCAAGGCCGGATTGGATGGGGCCCTGGGCAGCCTGGTCTGGTATTAAATGGGGAGGTTGGTGGCCCTGCATGTAGCAGAGGGTTTGGAGAATCATGATCCTTGAGGTCCCTTCCAACCCTGGCCGTTCTGTGGTCAGTCTCTAACACTTTGTCTCCTACCTTCCTCCTCACACTAATCCTCTGCTCTGGATGGGTTCCCTCCATGGGATACAATCATCTAGGAGCTGCTACAGTGTGGCCCTTACCATGGACTGCTGTTCTTCAAGATCTGCTCCAATATGGGTCCTTTCCATGGAGTGTGGCCCTTCTGGAAGATATTAGTCCAGCTTGGATATTCCATGAGGCACAGTTCCTGCCAGAAAACCTGCTCTGCTGTGAGCTGGAGTTTCTGCTAGAAGCCTGCACTGCGGTGGAGTCTTCTACTGGCTTCAGTGTGTATGTCTACTGTGATGTGATCTTCTGTGGCCTGCAGTGGGACAGCCTGCACCTCCACAGGCCTCTCAGGAGAAAGGGCTGCAGGGAAATCTCAGCTCTGGTGCCTGGAGCGCCTCATGCTCTCTTTCTGCACTGACCCTGCAGAGCTGCTTCTCTCATTTCTTACTCCTCTCTCCCAGCTATTGCACAGTGGGCTTTCTGTTTGTTTTTATCCTTTAAATATGTTGTTGCATGGGTGGAATCTCCCTCAGGACTCTGCTTGACAGGTCCCTGGATAATATAAGGCCCTGTTTTCAACAGAAGGTTGGACCAGATGGTTTCTAGAGGTCCTTTCCAATCTGAAATTTCCTATGATTCTGTGAATCTCTTTTCCTTTGATACTCAAACAAATATGGAGAAACAGACTAAGCAGTTGTAGTACTGCTAGTGGGTTCTTGAGCCACAAGGCCTGTGATCTGATCCATTCCTCAGAGCAAAATTATTGCACTATATTAAAAAGGAAACTGGAGGAGAGGGCAGTTCAGTAGAAAACAGTGCCTGGGTTTTTCAGTGGGAGGAGGTGCCAGCTTACCATGTAAATTTGAACATGACTGTCCAGCATCTTAACAGAAGTGTAGTTACACAGCTGAAGAAATGGCCAAAAAGGAATGAGGACTGGAAAGGCAGTGTGAATGGGTATGGTATACATCTTAGGTACTGAATAGTTTAGTATAATGTGCATACACCATGTTGAGTGATATAGTTTGTGGGGCAGAACAGCTTTGACAATGCAGGAAACCTCTAGATTCTGAAAGTGTTGTCTGCTGGTGTTAACAACCATGTGTTGTTGAGAGCAGGAGGAGGGAGTTCTTGAATTTTTCATAATTTGAATGATCTGAAGAAGATGCTGGCCTTTCCTTAAATACTTGCAAAAAGGAAGAGGAGAAATTAAAGAGTTTGGAGTGTTTTTTAGTACAGTCATCTGATCATTGAAAAAAAAAGTCCATTTAAACTCAGCAAATTAAAGACCTTTCTCCAAATTGAAGTATTGTTTAGTTTATTCATTGTTTCAGGGAAGTTGGAGCGTCTCGCAGATGTGTGCCTCGGTCATCCACCATCCTTGACGTTGTGGTTGCTTTTCTTTCTCTTTTTCTCCTGAAAAGAATGTTATTTCTGTCCTGACATGGATCATTCCTTTAGCTAACTACAGCAACTGCCATCATAATTTCTATGTTGAGAAGTTTTTTCACTGCAGTCTATAAAGAAAATTGAAGGCATCTCTAAAATATCAATGCCATGATATATGTACAGTATGTCAGGTTCCATTTTGCAGTATGATCTGGAAAGGAAATGGTCAGGAAACCTGGGTCTTTCCTTTAGTGTGACTCCAAATATTGCTGCAGCCAATATCTGTTTTTATATAGTGCTTATGTACGTGTAGAAGACAACCACTTTATTAAAGAGGTTTAATAATCATTGCACACTGGGCTTGCCCATCTAACCCATGCATCAGCTGATTGTTTATGAGGATTGTGTTGGGGTTTGTATCAAAGGTCTGACGTAAGTTCAGGAAGACGATATCCACTGCTCTCATCGTTCTGATCATGTTCTTGTAGAAGCTTATCTAGTTGATCAAGCATAACTTCCCCCTGATAAATCCATGCTCATTCATGACTACTGCTGATGATTTTCTTCCTATTCCTGTGCCTGGAAATTGGTTTACAGGATGAGCTGTTTCTGTCAGCTGTTCCCAGGGTCAGAGGTGAGGCTGATTGGCCTGCAGTTCCCCAAGCCCTCTTTCTTGTCCATTTGAAGATAGGAGCAATGTTTGCTTTTCTCCACTTTCAGATACATCTCCCAGTTGCTACAATCCCTCTGGAATAATTGAGAGTGGCCTTGCAGTGAGGGAGGTGAGATTAGTTTGCATTAAACACGACTAGTATTTTCCCCTTAACAAGAATATTGCGTAAGATACAAAAAAATACTGTCTCAGTATGTGGAATTTTCTCTATCCAGATTTTGGTTATCCCAACTAAAGAAAATAGATTGCTTTGTGCCATTGTCTGCTTAGCCAGCTGTAAGCCCTGTGGGACAAATTGCATGGTATACTGATTAATCAAACAGGTTGTGGGTGGTTAGTGAAGTGTGTAATGATGTCCATAGCTTCCAGTGCATTGTAGGAATGCCACTGACCAATATAACCACACAATCTGTAGTGTCTCTTGCAAAATACATTAGGACTACAGGGAAAAAGTGGTGTGGTTCCTGAAAAGCTGTGACAGCAGCACACAGCTGTGCTCATTTTTGTGGAGGCTAAAATTTAATCCGACAATTTAAGGCTTCTTTTTCTTTTGTCTGTATGATAAATTTGAGGGTCTGTATTTCTGCATGTGCATTAAAGTGTTTGTTTCATATCCCACTGTCTGACAACAGAAGGCAGAATAGCCTCATGAGTTCTGACAAGCAGCATGCTGTTTTGTAAAATGTTTTATAAAATGTTACTAGATCAAGCAGTCAAATACTAAAGATTGTATATACTACTCTTTATAGCTGGATATAATTTTTTAATGCGTATAAAATCTCCACTGGTCAAATGCTGTCTGAAAATATGGAATGTATTTGACTCTCATATCAGATTTTGTTATGTAATAATTCTGCCATAGGAATGATTTTTTTTTATACTGTGTTCTGAACTGTCAGTGAGCATCTGCTCACTGCTTTGAAGCTATATAAATTCCAATTGCAGAGCAGTGGGTGTTCATATTTCTTTTCTTATGAGCGAGCTTTTCTTCAGAGCAGTAAAATAATTCATGTGCTTACCTTTGCTGCTCTATTAAAATTCCTGTAAATATTTGTTTCCAATCCGTAGGTAGTAGCTCAATTCCAAATTTCTTTCGTATCATGAAACGACAGTTTACTGAGACAGAGTGGCGTGTAATCAAGTCTATGAATAATGAGTGGATGCAGCTGGATATGTTTCATCGACATTGGGTAATACATTTATTTTCTATTTAAAGACTACAATACTAGTAAATTGTTTAGGATGTTTTGTTATTCTTTAAATTATGAGAAAACCGTATACTTTCATCGTTCAAGAACATACAGAGATTATCTATTTAACGTCGGACTATCTGCAAGAACCATAATATAGTTGATATTTCTAGAGGGATTTATAACTAGTTTTAAACATGTACTGAGAACAAGCTAAATGATTCATATCTAGATGTTCATTTTTACGCAGTGAGAAAAGTAATAACAATGATGGTAACTTTTTTCTCTTGATAACTGTGCCAGTCTACTGTCATATTAACAGGTATAAGCCCTTAATTTATTTGACCTACAATGTCTGCTTATAAATAATGTTTATAGAGAAGGTTAATTGAAACAACCAGTATGAACAGTGAATATACTGATAATGGTGCTCTGTCTTTTAGGCCCTAAAAGAAAGCTTCTTAAAGGCTATTGGAGTTGGGATTGGTTTTAACTTGCAAAGAATTGAATTTAATGTGTCCCCATTGCAAATGGAAATAGGGAAGGTGTATAAAGAGACCCAGATGCTGTTGGATGGAGAAAAAGAGGAAGAGTGGACTTTTGAGGTATGAAATCTTCAAACTATTTTTTTTAATTGCATTGCACTCTTTTTATTAATTGTAACTTCACACCTTTATTCTATATAACTGCACTGAACAGATATAGATTAAAATGTAGGGTATAAATCTCTGGCGTGTAAAAACGTTTTTGTTGATCACAAAATCCTCCTACAAAGTACATCCATTAGAATGGCTTTTTATTTTTTCTGTTCCTGGAGTATTGTTCTGGCACTCGAGGATATTCATCCCTGGCCATGCAGGAAGTTCAGTGAAGTGTATTCAGACCTCACTTCTGAAAAGTGTAAAAGAAAAAAATATTTGAAATTCTTCCAAACCAGGATATTCTGTGATTCTGTGATCAGTTGGCTGAGAATGAGACTGGTGATAGCTAATGCCATTAGTTAGCATTTATGTTAAACGCTTGACATGTGTCTTCATCTTTTTGGTTGTGTTTTTGTTGTTGTTTGGTTGTTTTGTTTTTTTTTCCCTTCACCTGCTTGAATGAACAAGAAGCACTGTGTTACGTAGATTTGAATTTTAGAGGTACTCACTGGTTGCTGTGTGTTGGAATGGGCAGATATTACAAACAATTGCCTTTACTAAATTGGAACATCCTTTTGGAGCTCAGTCTTCTGAGTGTTGGGTTTTGTCTTTGTTGACATGTTTGGGCTTTTTTTTACTTTTCCCTCCTTGAAAATTATTGAGACTTAACTGTGAAACATCTATGGGTGTGACCAGTGGCCATCTAATGTGTTTTGAAGGACAGGGAGAGAAAGAGCTGATACTATCATCTCACAATATTTAATTAGCTAAAAAAAAAAATCACGGGTGCTCCAAAAACACTTTCAATCTATCACTGAAAGGAAAAATGGAGAGAACAATGTGACTTTAAAGTTGTCTAGAAAGGGATTTTTGTTCCTGTTTGTCCCAGTCTCCATCTTCTGTTAGATTGTGCAGCATGTTGGTGGCTGGCTGGAATTCAAAGATTATATACTTTGCACCTCTATTGAGAAAATATTCCATTTGAGTAATCAGCCTGCAGTGTGTGTGAAGCATTACATTTTGCAAGTATCTGCATTGTTGGACATGACTGCTGTGGTAGAGCTTGTGTGAATGACCAGTATGTGGTGTATGCTCGTTTTACATAGCATACGCAGTGCATGTATGGTGTGCATATAGTGAATAAAAAAATAAAATATGGCATAAGTTAACTTGTACCAGTAACGTTTAACCTGTTCAGGGTTCATTCCTTTCAGCATCTGTAGTCGCATTTGGGTTTCTGCTATTTTAAAATCCACCTACACTCAATCAGTTCTCATACTAATATTGCCATGGTCTCTAGGATTTGAGCATGTCATGAAATCCTATGGTGGGAATTACAGTCTGGCAAGAAATATCTTAGGAAAGATTGTGGCACATCTTGCAGTATGACTGTTTTCTGTGTTAATGCTAACTGTACCATTGGCACAGAAGCATTTATCTCTTTTGATGAACATCTGAAGCTCCAAATTTTGATCATGCTGGTGGTTGATTGAATAAAATAGCTCGGAGGTGATGCTATAGATAGCTACCTGTAGTACTTACATGTTTTATAATTTTACTTTTTTCTTTATAACTCAGTGATACTGCTAGAAGCTTAATTTAATTTTTGTCTGAGAAACACCTCCGCTTCCATGCTTGCCCACTGCTTCCCAAGAGCACGGCCTTCTAACTATGCAGATTATATTATCTCAAAGACAAAATTTATTATCAGGTTTCATTTAAAATACTAGTTCTGCTGGGTATAATTTCATTTAAAAATCTACATTAATTAAAAGGAGAGAAAAAAAAAAAAAAAAAGTTTTCCAGTTGTCTGTCTCCAGACTAAAATTAAGAACCTCTGTAGTTTTAGAAGAATCTTGTGAGAAGACAAAATGTTGTCCCCATTTTCTTACTTACAGAATTCTTAGTTTTGTTTGATCATTTGGCCTTGAGCCAAACTCTTGAAGTAACTTTGGTAACTGCAGGCAGTAATTTTGAGAAATCTGGGGGAGTCATCCAGGAGAAATCACTGAGAATTACCTTTAAGACTCCTGTTATTGATACAGAGTTTTCCTTGTGTTCACTTTTGTGCTGACTTTACCTGAGAGGACTTTTTCTGTCAGATAGAAAGTTCATTTTTACTTTACAGGTCTGTATGGTAGGAGATGATCAAAGAGAGAGCAAGGCTCCAGTTATCTCATAGTTTGGATTCTCTTCCTTTGAGTTTTAAAGAGAATCTAGCTTACCAACAGTAGGAGATAGTTTTTTTTGCTTTTTTGGTTTTTTTTGTTTGTTTGTTTGTTTTTTGTTTTTTAAAGAAAAAAGTAAAAAGTTTATTTCTCAACTTAAGGTATACAAAAATACTCTGAAATCTCCTTTAGAGAATACAATGGCAACTTAAAAGCAACTTAAAAGCATAAAGACTTGAAAAAAATTTACTGCCTCTTCATTTGCAAGCCAAAAAACAAATCAAGAGAAATAGTAGTTAATCACATTAGGGGAACATGCATTTTAAATTTCTTCACATTGTAGGTAGAATTTTCTGCGAACATAATTTTTTTCCATTTCATTGTAAACACTAAATATATGTTGTATAGTTGCCTTTTTGCCTCCTTTTTACCTAAAGGATTAGTTTTGTACTTTTTCCTTCTGCCATTCCTCATGTATTTTTGAGCTTGGGTAGGAAGCAGTAGCTCAGGAACATCTTGTTAATGATAAATTGACTTAGTTTTAGGTGTTTGTTTCATATGGTTCTCTAGAGATTATTTCTCACATTCCCTTTAACTATTTTGGAGGTAATAGGACGAAAAATACAATAAAACTTCATTCAAAAGCGTAAATTGAGTTTCAACATTTATCTTACTATGTGTGCTAGATAAGTAGATCCCTCTGAAAGTAATGCCTCCTATTTATTTCTGTGGAAACTACAACAGATACAAAGGAGCAATAACACTGATATAGAAATTTCTCAGCTATAAAACACTGATTTTCAACACAGTCACCACCATTACCTCTGCATTTTCACCAGTGATGAACAGGAGCACCACCCACTGCTTCACTGCGCAGACATCCACTGTTTGGTCTCCACAAATGGTCAGCAAACACTGATGAATGTCAGTGGGTGCCATTTTTTCCACGTGGAGGAATTCAGTTCTGCGACTTTCTTCATACACACTTCCATGCCAGATGCCATTCTGTCAGACTGCCCCTCTGCTGCCATCTGTCACACAGCAGCAGCATGAAATGTTGATGAAATATTGGTGGGAAGGTTTGACCTCTACTGCCGTACCACCACCACCCGCCTCTGATGCTGTGGGCCAGCACAAGGTGCTGCTTTCGGAGCAGCCCTCATATGATTTGTTTGCAATGGGCAGTGCACGTGTCTTTTTTTAGAGAGACAGGAAAAAGAAGACAATTTGTTTAGTAAAAATTAAAACGTAAAAATTAGAAATTTAGTAAAAATTAAAACGCAGTAATCCACTGAAGTGTGGTACAGTGTTTGTGTCAGAGTGTTAATTTAAGATGAAGACATACATTTTGATTTTTACTTTTTTATATAATTTTATCAATGAGTTTCATATAATCCATTTGCTTCTTTTGAAGAAAAATAAACTTACAGCATAAAGTACTAGTTAATTTTAATGTAGGTGAAGGAAGTTGTCAATGATAATTTTGACAAGTTTTATAGTTCAGAGAGGGAATTGCATGTATATAATATCTATCTGCAGCAGACCTGTTACAGTTATATATATATGGAAAAAAATCCTAATGATGAATCTTTATAAAGTGTATTTGTGACTTTTTCTCACTTTCATACAGTTAATTGGGAAGAGTGGTCAGATAGCAGTTTCTGGAGTCTTTATTAGATAACTCTTTTTTTTGTTCCCTACCTCAGTTTTCATATAATCAGTACACAGGGAGCACCCATTCACCCTAAACTTCAGTCAGGGTTTGAGAATCACCTGGCATCACTGCTGCTACAAAAATGATTGATTGGATGTTTTGATAGCAAATACTTGCTTTGTTTGCCTGCATGCAAACACATTACTTCCAAAGTGAGATTACCTGGATTAATTTGAAGCATATTTAGTAATGGTTGTTAGCATGCAATAGTAATGGAGTCTTTCTCCCTCGATAAGAGGAGGTTATGTTTTATTTTGAGGAAGAAATAGGAATTAAAGCTTGCTTCCAAAACTAGCTAATCCAACTGGATTCAGACAGCAATCAGTTCTGCTGCCTGTGAAGGTGCAGTTTACTCATAAATTATCTGTTTTAGTGAATCCAGACTGATCTGAATCCCAGACACGTCATTCTGATGAGCCTTTGAAATGAGGTAATTATAAGTCTCATTGTGCCTTTAGTTGGTTCAGAGAAAAACAAATTTTGATCTATTACATATTCTCTGTTTTATAGACAGGAATCTTCACAAAACCAGAGGAATTTCTGTAATGTTTTTGTTTCCAGTGCTGCTTCTGTTTTTGTTTAGTCATTCATTTTCATGTAAGAAATTGGATTTAATTGATAAGATTGTGTACAGATATCTCCAGATGAATACAAAACAGATTGATATGCTGTTTTTAAGCATCTCTGTGCTGCATTAACTCCACGCTGTAAGGGTTTTGCTGGCCATTAGCAGGAGCCAGGAAAGATCTCCTATGTTTGTTTTGGGTTTACATTTCAGTGAGGCAATGAAGATAAAATATAGGGCATAGTTTGCTACATTTAATTAGAAGATGCTGAAAACTGTTTTCTGACCTCTATTGCACTGAGGATGTGTGAAGTAAATGGGAGAGAATCCTCTGAATTAATCATTCAGTGAGAGGAGGGGTCTCTGCAGGAGAATAGTCCCTATTATCTAAAGAGTCACTTCCACTTAAATGCAACTTGAAATTGACAGAAAATAGTTTTGTTAACAATATGTGAGAGACTTTACATGATCTGTGTTTATTGTTGCATCAACGGTAAGTAATCTATCAGTTCATGTCACAAAACCAAACGTGCATTTTGCTGAAAGCTGTAACAATTGTTTTCAGTCATTTGACAACAGATGTAGGCTGCTGTGTGATGAACTGTGTGCAGTCTCATCTGTCTTCAGCCTTTTGGACAGGCAAAAAATAAAAAGGGGGTAGGGAGGAAGTAAAGTGATTAAAAAGTGGACATGGTCATTTTTCTTCAGGACAAGCACAAAGCATTGCGAGAACTTTAACAATTACTTGCCATTATTTCTGCTCTCACACCAGCACTTGTTGGCCAAGGCACCCACATCTTTGACTGTGAAGTGCCCCAGCCTAGTGGTTCTTCTGCATGTGAGTAGAACAGATACTGTCTTAACTGGATTCAGTACATTGGAGCTGAGCATCTTGGTACCTGTTTTGTAAGTGCTATTGGGGAATCACAGAAGAGAGGACATGATGATATTTTCTTTTTGTAATTATACAGTGTGTTAGTATTTCCCAGAGAAGTGGAAATAGGAGGTTCAGTTGTACCTCCCAGGAGGGTATCCACACAAGTACCTGATTTTCAGGTTAATGGTAGCATCTAGATTGTTTTGTTTTTACATTAAATTCTTCCTATTCTTGGTTTCCATTTTAGAAAGTTTGTGCAGATACGGTATGGAAATCTTTTGATAAAGAAACAAGGAAAATGTTTTCCCCTTTATTAAAAACAAAACAAAAACAGGATTATGACTTGACTATAAAATCAACATTCAGAAACCATACATAACAGCAGTTTCTTCTGAAATGAATTGCCTATGATGAATTCTTAGGTGTTCATGGGGTGTGTGGAACTTTTAAATATAAATTATATTAAAATGTTATTAATAGTATCAATAATAATATTAAAATACTATAATTAAGTAATTATAAGTTATACATGTGCATATATATGTATAAACTAAAGATATAAACTAAATATATAAACTAAAATATGTATATTAAAATATATTTTTGTGGAAAACTGTATTTCCACAAACCAGTTTTCAGACCACTGTGTCAGCAGTTTGAGGTTGTGGACTTGCATGATGCCCACAGCCAAGAGCAGGAAGGTCATTGGTTTAAGTTTACACCTATGTTCTTGGTCTTTAGGATGTTCTCCAGAGAAAGCTCATAGTTCATCTCATTTGGAAACAAAGAGTTAAAATAGATTGTATGGTTTATGACTTAGAAAGGTATGATAAAGGAAGACTGAGGTCACAGACTGGTGCATAAATGTCTAAAAATAGGTGAGATGGTGCCCATCAACAGTAACCAGTTCATCTCTGCTAACTGTAGCTGCATCTTTGAGCTCTCCAGCAAACTTTCTAAGAAGGTCTGTTGCTTTTTCTGAACGTCACTATTCTAAAGTAAATGCTTTGGTATTTAAATATAAATTTGGTATTTAAATTCAAAATTTAAATGCTTTGGTATTGTTCTAGCCATGTTTTAACTGTGTATGTAGTCTGCTGGAAACTGAGTGAAGAAAAAACTTTTACATTGCTGTTTTTCATCTTTACTAGGAAACACGGTTAGATGACTATCATCACGTTGCAGTGGCTCTTGGGAAACAGGAGGGATTTGGACAGCAACATACTGATGTAAGAAATCACAAAGTGTTTGCAGGTCTTGGTATCTTGGTAACTAGTTACTTGAACATAAGCTTAGCATGATGCTTTAGATAAAATAAGACCTCATCTCAGATGTAGGGCCAAGGAGAAGAAAGCTTGTCTTAACTGCAGTATTAGTCAGATTGTTGGAGGACTGTTACGTTTAGTCTGTTTGTGCCTATTTGAGAAACAGGCTGGAAAGGGGAAATGGTTTCAGAAGACAGCAGCTGATGATGTTAAATCTACAATGTATGTGCTACAGCATTCACTGTGTTTATTCAAGAGATGATTCAGTGATTTCTATTACAGCCTGCTAGACTCAAGTTGGAAAGGTGGATTTAGTAGATGCAAAAGGATACTGAAACTAATCTGAACTACTGAACTGTTGCACCAGCTCCCATTGTAATGGGAGACCATCACTGCATGTATCCAACAGCAGATCCAGCTCTCAAAAACCATTAGGACAGTTCTTGAGAAAGCAATAACAACCAACAGGTTGGAAGAACAGCAGCATTAATCTTCATTCTGCATGGTCTCTTTATGGAGTGAGGCAGCAAAGCTACTTAAAAGTTTTTTGGGAATTTCTTTATAGTTTAGCAGACTTGGGCCATTAAAATAGCAGCAGAAGTCAAATTTGAAGCAGATTGAGAAATCATAGCCAAAATAGCCAGAGAATCAGCAGAAGGAAAGGGTGACAAATAACCAGGTTTGTCTGTGACATTTCAGTTGCTCACAAGAAAATGGATCTGTTGTTATCCATTATGTAGCTACAAAGACTGTAGCAGGAGCTACCAAAAATACCTGCTAATGGATGAAAGTGGTTATAAAATCTGTGTCTGTGTTCCTTGATAGCACAGTGAGGCAGATCTTTTAGCTTGTGTTGGTTAGATTCAAAAAAACAGATAGAAACTACATTTTGGGATATACTCTGTCACATGTTATTTAGGAAAATGCATGCATTCTGTTTGACAGTATGTTTATCATGCAAGCATACTACAGAAACCAGGATTAGTTGCTGACTGTGGCTATCACTGTCAGGCACCTTAGAATTATTACAAAAGGAACAGATGTGATATATATTGGGAGTTATGATGCAAAGTATTTGAATCAAGAAAAGTCTCTAAGGCATACTTGCTCACTAACTAAATTTATAAAGACCTAAATTTCATTAGCACGGTCCACTGAAAATAGGAAATATTGAGTGGCACAAGTGGCATTCTCTGACTCCTCGCTATGATAATGAAGTAAGAATTTCTATACGTTTGTGTTTTCCTTTTTCAGGATGCTTTTTAACAGTAATATGGAAGAAATAAATTTGGCCTTATTTTCTATGGAAACGGTTAAAAGGGATTCAGTCTGTTGTTAAGTATGTTGAGTGGAGAGGGTGTTCTTCATCTTTGTTTAGAGGGATTGAACATGTAGACAGTATTTAGAAGAACAGCTTACAGCCTCTATCAGATCATGCAACTGTACTTTTAACCCTCCTGGAATTACACTTGCAGGTAGCACACAGCAGGCTATACAGCAAGAAAACAAGCCTATTTTTCTTTGAGATGCATTTTAACTTAATGCAGAAACTGTGACACAGTCATCTCCAATATCTGAGTTTGCATTTAATCTGGATTTAACTATGGGAATCATGGCTTGATTGTTAATGCTTTTGTCCCTATGAGTTTCTGTGAGGAGACTGAGTGCACGCAGAGGAATATGAGTAGACATTCCTCCATTGGTAAATCCTGATGCTATCATCTCAAATAATCATGTGTGATGTAGAATGTAATAGTTTGTTTTTTGTTTTTTTTCTGAGCAGTCATTCTGTGGTGTTTATAGGATTCTTTGTCCCTAGCATTCCCAGTTTTCTGAACTGAATCAAAGCAGAACTTACTTTTTCTGCACACCCTGTTACATGCTTCTGTTAGTCGATATATAGCCTAAATTAGCAACGGTGACACTGGTTTTAACTGGAATGTTTTTTCTTCAGAAAGCAATGTGTAGTTTTAACTTTTCAGGATAAGTTGCAGGAAGAAAATGGAGATTTCCTGTTTCATGAAAAATTAATATCTGTTTTCCTTAGGTATCTTCCATGCAGCCTCATCAACCACAGTTTACATTACTGACTTTTGAAGATTTAGTTGCACCTGGAATTCCAATTACATCTGAGGATTCTGCATATTGGGATAACTTTTGTTCTAAACAAGAGAGTCCAATGAAACAGAGTTCAGATTCAAGATGAGAATGCTTAGAAAGAAAGGATCGTAAGAATACATGTAAATATGTAAATAAAACTGTTCTCTCGTATTTTATGTATTTTCCTTTAAGTCTGGTATTCACCTTTTCAAACTTGACATTTTTCTGTCAGTATTTAAGAAGATGTCGTGCTTCCTCGCTGAAGGAATTCTGAGTGAAAAGTCTAAGCTGACCACATGGATTTTTGATTCTCCATGCCTTTCGCCTCATAATTTAGTAATTACTCTTAGCAGTAACAGGAAGCAGAGCTTCGGTAATGTTGTCAGTCAGCAAGAGCTTAACAAGTGGAAGTGTTTCTGTGTTTTGTTTGTGCTGGACTTAATGTCAACTCTTATCTTAAAAAAAAAAAATCACAATTTTATACTGCAATGAAGTGAATAAAGGCAGAGGAATTGGTAAAAGTCCTATTGCTGCTACTGCATGGCACAAGTGTTGAACAAGATTTGAGGTTTAGTTGTGTAAAAACAAACTGAAAAAGTGTGAGTTGTGCTCTTGGAACTAAACCTGCGTAAAATTATTTTGAGGTGGAAACTTAACATAAAAGTATTGCATATCCTTGTCACTTAAAACCTTAATTAAAGCTTTTTGTATCTAATAGAAGTTTTGATGTTTTTACTTCCTTTTTGTGTTTTGTTGTTTTTTTGTTTGTTTTTTTTTTTACATTGACTAATAGGTGTTTGCCATACAGTGGTTATATTTCCCAGGCTTGCACTTACAGGTTCACAACCCTAGAAACTAAGTCCTGTGGAGAAAACAATACAAAAAATTGTTTGTTTTTCTTCCTTTTTTTTTTTTTTTTTTTTTTTTTTTCTTCCCCCAACATACCAAACAGATTGAGTCTCATACTCAATGGAACAATTTTCATAGCTCTGAGGTGTTCATTTCTGTCCTACAGTTGAACATAACTCTTCTGTGAATTTAGATTTGTGCAAAATTTGGCTACTCCTTTCTGACTAAAGGCAAATGTATTTGTTGTAAAGCTGTGCCATATTATAAAGACAAATACAAAATTTAGATAAGGATGTAAGGTTTTGAGGTTTCACTGTAGATAATCTTGAATTCAGATATGCTGATAAACTTTTCTAGTTCTGCTAGTTTGGGTTAATAATTTTGTATCCATTTTAATGAATCTCTCATTTTGCATGCTAATCATGGTTTTTGTTTGGTGAGCTTTTTTCTTTTTTTCTGTAAAACCACAAATCATTGATAGCTGTGAATTTTCTCTCCAGACTCCACAGGGGTTAAATTAGATGTTCAGCAACTTCAAATTTGAAATTGTTGGAAATATAGAATAATTTATAGAGGTAGAGTAATTAGAAGTCAAGCATTTCAGATGGGATTCAAAAGTGAAATATAACTTGCACTAAATAACTGGAATTCCATGGAGATCAGAAAAGGCTATGCAGAGGGTATGTGCCCACATCATTTCCTGCTATGGGATATTTTTAACCACTTCAGTTGACTTAATTTTATTCTGTCCTATCTGAAGTGTTCTATAATCCAGCTGTGCAAGCATGTAAGGGTGTTTAAGAGCAGGGATAACCAGAACTATTGCCAAGCTGAAAGAATGGACATGGTTTTAGAAGCCCAGAGAAGAAGAAGGACTGTTTGAAATAAGAGGGTCTGGAAAGAACTGAGCTTCACTACTGCCTGCTTGTTTACTGCTCCAGTTTGTGCCAGTCCTCACCAGTCCCTGAGGCTGCCAGCAGTTGCAGCTGTATGAGACAGTTTAAATTACCATCTGGTTTCTAAAGGTCTAGACGGAATCATCCATGAAGTTGCAGTTCTTCATAGTAATTTTTTCCTATGTATTTCATTTATACTGAGCTACTTGCAATCTCTTCTCTTTTAACCTGAAGTAGGTTAAGATTAGGTGATGATGGTGTCTTGTGAAAAGCCACTTGGGTCAGGTTGCTTTGTGTCAGTGCAAACTGACAGTTTTTACACTTGTATTTAGCAGTGTGGAAAAGAGCAGCTGTGTAGCCGTGGAATTTATCTACATGCTGCTAAAAGACCATCTAGATGCTCTGACATCAGAATGTTTTTCTGAACATCTGTCTGTCACAAATGCAGATATTAAAATAAATGTAGATATTATGTCCAAGTAGAGCTGTGTGATTATATTAATTCCAGGTTCTTTGGCCTCCAGCATCACATTTCCCATTATATAAAAATTGAGCCCTGTGTCCATACATGGTTATTACACTGTCTCCCTTGTGTTTCCTCAGAGTATGGTTCTTAATGCCTACAGAGTATGCATGCTGCTTTTAGAAATACTGGTCAAACAGAGCCATAACTTTTCTCTCTACCTCAGAGTGTTTTCCCCAACTCAGTGCAGATAAGATGACCTTTACTAGTCTCCATCACTGTTCTGTCTGCAAGAAATTTCCCAATTACATCCAGAAATTCTCCAGCCTTCAGATCCCTTCTCCAGAGCTCCCTTCCCTCATCTCTTGTTTCATCCACACTGCCCTAAATGTGACCACACCACGTAACTTGGAGTCTGAAATGTAAGAAGTTGCAAAAACAGGCTCTGCTCAGCATGAGCCCTTCCCAGCAGGTGCTGCAGCTGGGTTGTTTTTTCTTCTATGGAATGGGATTGACCAGCTCCCTGCAGAAGTAGAGGTTCAATCTTTGATCATATACTGCCTTTGACTACAGATCAAGCTCATGCTTCTGAGGAATTAGTAGTGTCTGACCAATAAATAGTTTAACAAATAAATACACAAAAGTCCTTTTAAGCTCGTCTGTATGAGGCAAGCAAAGTACTTGAGATTGTGTTGTTACAAGGAACTTCTGGTGTAAGGACTCAGACTTCCCACCAGTATCTCTATGGTGCTCCCTCATCTTCTCTCCCCTATGTGCTTCTCCACATGGAGAACTTTGAACATTGCTGTATGCTCAGCATAAAACATGGTTGTTCAATTTGATTTTTCAGTTTTGCTCTTTAATGAATAGATTGTTAGAAACAGATGAATGTGCTTAGCTTGGACGTATTACCATCTTCTAAATCTTCATGCATCTTGCTTAAACAGTGTTGGAGTGGAATAGGAGCTTCAACTGTCAAAACTTCAAGACAAATTGCAGTTATGTGTGACAAGAGACTGGTGACATCTGATGTTAAAATATGTAGTTTTGAAAAGTGGATTATATGAATTCATGCAGGCTTTCACAAAGTCTGTAAAAATATGCAAAATATACATTGTACTGTACTGTAGAATCATAAGGCATTGATGTTAATCAAACTTTCTAGGTCTTATTCAGGCAAGAAATGGTAGGTGTATCAACAGAGGTGGTATAAATTTGATAATAATTTATAGGTTCTTGGTAGCACCCAGTCAGCAATTTAACTCTAACATTTACCTTTACCTTAAGCTCTAAGTAAAAACACGATGTGAAAAGAAATGCAAGATAAGAAGAAAAAGTAGCTGTTCCCGTATGCATAGATATAGGGGGTTTTGGAGCTTTACAAGACCACAGTTCTACATTTAACAAAGAATATGAGCAGTGTTTGGTCAGTACTGTTAGAACCTAGTTTAAACAGTGATTAACACTCCTCTTAACAGTTGTCTACCAGTGGCTCGACATTGTGCTTTCCTGTATTTGTGATGCTGAGCATGTTTATCCAGAGAAAAGATGTTGCTGTACACTGTATAGAAAATGTAGGTACAAAAACAAACTCTTGAGTTCTTCACAAGAAAGCTAATATTTTATTATTTTTTGAAATAATTTTTGTAGCATGTCATGGTATCCTTGTGCTATACCTACAATTGTGTTGGGGTTGTTGTTGTGGGATTTGTTTGTTTGTTTTAAAGCTACATGCAAAGGATGAGTCCTGTTTCTACTAAAATGGAGTTTAATTCCTTTATGGTAATAAAAAGTGCATTATTTTAAAGTTTTGATCCTATTTTGTGTTGCCAGTTTATGGCATTTCTTTTGAGTTCTTTTTTTTCCTCTCACTATTTAGGTATAGACGTAGATAGTAATACTGAAACATTTGTCTTTTGTTATTTCTAAAAGAATTTAGAAGAACCAAAAACTGTATGCTCCTAGAGATGTCCTTCAGACATAACATGAAGGTCTGGACCAACTGCCTGTTCCACGGCAGTCTTAGAAGGCAAGGTATGCTCAACTCTTTCTTTCAGGACAAGGAGACTCCCTACCTTATTCCTGCAATTTTGATTTAATGAAATGCAACCTTGTTTCTTGACGCAAACTATAACAATGTTATCATGTTCTAGTTACAGAGAGGGTACATGCAAGGAAGTGTCTAAAGAATTTTGAAACAACATTGTGGAACAGAGAAGTTCTTGGTGTTGTGGTAAGATCTCATTGTCACTCCCTTGCATGAAAAATCTTGGAAAATTATTTCGGATTTATAGATTAAGGAGAAAATAATGAATATTTTTAGACATATCAGCTCCGTCCTGTTTCCTTATGCGTTGTCTGAGCTTGTGCTGTGCCCTTGGTCCCACAGCCCCTCCAACACACATGGCTCAAGGACATTTCACTGCAATGGCTTTTAATCAGCTGCTCCCAGTGTGGAAAGCTCTTACAGACAGAGAGATGCCCCAGAGCCAACAAGCAAATGTTTTGGTGTCATTTCCAGAAAGTGGTCCAGTATTCCCCCAGTAAATTCATGGAAAAGTCAAATAAAATAATTATACGTTAAAACTGTAAATGATAGGAGGAAACAAATGTGAAAGACAAGATGAAAGTGTAGTAATGGTAACATTTCACTCATGAAAAGAAGCTCTTCGTTCTATTTTGCTAAAAAGTTTTAAAGCAGCTGAAGTTATTTCAATCAGTTTTTCAGTCAATCGGTAATATAAATATTTGTGTGATTTTTTTATTTTCTTTTAAAAAGCATGCTTCTGGAGTTCCTGTTCAGATTTTCAAACTAGCGAGTTTCTGTTGTCATAGTGGCTTAAGATTTCCAGCCTTGGTTCAGTGTTCTAAAAAATTACTTTCCTTTAATCTTGCAGTAGGTGGGATTTCACTCAAGTGACCAGTCAAATCCAATTTATCCAGGGAAATCTCTGATAACAGACAGAAAGCAGAAACTTGGGCTGACCTTGAATTCACATATAGGTTAACCACTCTCCCTTTTTTCTGCTCAAGTCTGCATCCAGGATCCTCTTAGCTGCCCAGGTAGGGTGTGCTTCTTCCCTTCCCACTGGGACCGCAGTACTAGGGGATGATGGAGACCACGGTGATATAGGGTGTCTCAGATGTCCTCTCACAAATACAGAGCAGAAGCATGAGCCTGATAGCGCAGCACTTCAGTGGTCAATTGGTTGTTCAACACAGTCCTGTCCAGTCAGAAGCGCAGAGTGCACACCTGTGTTGTAACCGATCTGAAGTTTCCTCATTATTTCTTGAACTGCATTAAACTTCTATAATGTTGCCACATATTAGACTCTCAATTGCCTGACTGATAGTTAGTTTTTATTTTTTTTTCCTACATCTTATAATGTGAGCTGGAAGTCATTGCAACAGAATATCACAGAATGGTTGAGGTTGGAAGAGCCGTCTGGGTCCCTCAGGCCCAAGCCTTGCTCCGGCAGGGGCGCCCAGAGCAGGATGCCCAGGGCCACATCCAAGTGTCATTGGAAGATCTCCAAGGAGGAAATCCCACAACTTCTGAGCAGCCTGCCCCTGCTCCATCACCTGCACAGCACAGCAGTGCTCCTGGTGGTCAAAGGGAACCTCCTGTGTGCCAGTTTGTGCCTATTGCTTCTTATTTTAAAGCTATGCAGGTGAGCATCCCCTCCTTATAATCCTGCATTGTAATCAGATAGTGCAAAATATATCTTTCCTTTTTAGAAGGCTGCAAACAAGAAAGAGGTTTTTTTCTTTTTAATTTGTCCCTCAGGCAGAGTATATTAGGATTGGTGCAATTTAATTTGTGGGGATGCAGATATGCAGCAGGTAACAGTTTGACCTAATATACTTAATTTAGGTTAGGACTCAAATCATAACCGTATATTTGCTGATGTCTTTATTACTGAGTAAACTTTATTTTGGTCAGTAGAAAATTAATCTGAGTACAGTTCTGCATCATAGGCTTCATTGGATTGGCATGTTTTGGAAAAATGCTAAAGAAATGCATTTAAACCTCAGGTGGGAGATTACTTTAGTCACTATGACTACAACAAAAATTGGTAGGCATTACAGCTTTGGATCCATTTCACGGGAGGTACTGAAGTTTTTCAAAGGCATTATGAGTTTCTAAAATGTTTGAAACATTTTGGAAAATTACACAATTAAAGGTAATGCCTTCCTTGTTTAGACTTGCTTAGAAGAAATATTAAAGAGTGTTAATCTTCTGGCAGCATTATGAAGCTCAATTTCCTAGCAGTGCTTTAAGTGGCAGGGCATTTCACCAAATTATGGCTGTCAGTAGACATTCTGAGTTGGCCATCTGTAGCTAATTAAATCTCTTCGATCCTTCCACTGCTTCTACCCCATGAATTTGCTAATAGCTGCTTCTCATCAATGCTTGCAATTTCTGTCACAGTACCAAAAGTATCACTGGTTGTGATTTTGAGGTATAGTACCTGAATAAGCAGTGCAGAAGGGGCTGGGAAGTGCAAAAAGACAAACAAAAGTATAAATGATCTTTATAAATATGGTAATAGGCTTTATATATCTTTACATGGTACATATTGGATGCTGTCTATGTAATGTATTATAGCAATGTCAAACATTGCTTATGATGTTATTAGAGAATTTTAGAAGTGTGTAGCGTGTATTTCGAGTTTTACGTATATGTGTGTATATGTATATAAATATACATACATGCCATATTGGAGTATCTTATCTTTGACTGCTTTTCTCTCTGCAGTCTGGATAAGCGTATCTACCTATATGTAGTTTGAAGAAAAAAAATGTTATTTTTCATCATAGTGTCTGCTATATTGAAAGTGCTAATTGAGATTTATTTGAGTTTGCATTTGGAACAATTCACAAGCAAAAATCTGGAGCTGCTAGTTGGAAAACATTTTCCCTTGAATTAAATATCTGTATTTTGTCAGCTCCAGCAGCGGCGTTTCCTGTAATGTACCGCACTTGCAGTCAGGTGATGCTCAGCCCATGTGTCAGCTG